CAGTGAGTGTGTGTGCTCGCACATTCTTCAGCAGCTCCACGGGGTTTGACCTCAGGAAGACAGGCTGTTTTTTTGGGCAGCTGGACGATGGATCACAGGGTTTTAGTTTGGAGATTATTTCCTGCCACTGATAGACATCTGCTAAGTAGTACAATAACCTAATGGGAGGAGATGAGGGGAAAAGAGGGACATGACAAACAAGCTGAAGACTTGCACCTTCGGCTTCTCTCTTAACGGCAATAATAGGGGAAAATTGGTTCTTGAAATTGAATTGAAAAAAAGAGGGTCTCTTTCAGCAAGTATAATGCCTCCGAATACATTTGGTGAGCAGCAAATGGAGAAAAATGGAGGGTAGTTAGACGATTGTCTTTTATTTCAGAGAGGGGAAAGCGGTGGCGGTATCCCCCGTTAAGACTAGCTTTTAGTCTCAATCTACACCATGTGTCCCTTTCCACTCTCTCAACCACTATCTTTGAACAAATGGACTGTGAGGATGGGCTTGTTGTGAAATTAGTATCCTCACAGCGAGGACACAGAGAAAGGATTATGTGAATAGCCAGTAATGAGCTCAAAGTGCCAGTGTGTTTAGGCCAGGCCTGCCTGTGTGTGAGAGGAAATGGCACTGCAAGCGACCTTTTTTTGCTCAAGCACCTGGCGAGACAGAGAGTGGCCCCTCTCTTCACTGCAAATGTGTGTGAGAGAGGAAGAGGGAGTGGAGTCTTCGGAGTCTAAAGATTCAGTTTACTCATATTTATTAGAGAGATGCATTTTTAGTGAACACCCTTTTCACACCGACAGGCTAAAAGAGTTGTTTTGTGCTGCTTCTAAAATGCTTTAAAAATACATGCGAGTGTTAAGTGCATTATACAAGCCTCGGGGTCTGAGGTCAAATGTAATTTCTTTAAAACTGTTTTATTTTTTTATTTTTTTAAAAGGCTTTTTATGGGTGAAAGACTGCATTCTGGGCGGGGAGGATGCATTTAACACCTGTTTCTGATCGTTGCCTATTCAAACCAGGGAAGTCATTCAGTGTTAATTACAGGCAGCTAGATGTGTTTGCGTATCGTAGTTCCTTTCTGCATTTTCCACCCTCACACTTCTAATCAAATTTTGCTTGAATCATTCGAAAAGCTAAATGGCTGTAGAACATTTGGATGCACTTCTTAAATCTCCTGTTTTTAAAAGGTAAAATATATGTGGGGAATTTCACAAGTTTATACAAATACACCTGTAAATACAAATCGAAAGTTAATTACTGCCAAACTCAGAGGAAGGATTTTGTCTATAATTTTCCTCTTTTTCACCTAAACTGTGCCGGGGATGTTCTGTTTTAAGGCCAGATGACGTAGCACAAATTTGCATTTGTGCATTTGGAAGTCATTGTCACAGATATTCAATAAAAGTTACAAAATTGACTTTGTAAGTGTTTGTCATAACGTAGCCTGCTTTAGATGATGGTTTTTCACTTTGGTCAAATATTACAGGAACATTGGGTCATTTACAAGCTTGATTTGTTTGGATTCTTCAATGACTGGTTTAATTTTTTGACAATTTTCACTGCTGGTCTGTGTTTTGCTTTATTCTTTAAATGAATGAGACAGGAGCCGGCGCTTTGCTGCCATTAATTTATCTTGTAATCATTGTAATTGCATTCTTTCATATTAAAATGATAATCTATAAAACTAAGTAATGGACTGATGGCAGGTGGCTAAATGTTCATTTAGTGATTCACTGAGAAAATAAATAACAGGGGACAAGCCTGTGACAGGCGCATGAGAAATCATTTTTCAATAATCTGCCACGCATCATGGCGGGAGACGCTGGCGCTGACAGCATAGATGAAATATTTGCCTCTGTTCTTTGTTTTAATATGAGAGGAGACCAGCCCAGATGGAAACAATAGTGTTTTATATTGATGCATTTTGGACAAGACATTCAAACACAGGCTGAGCTAAGATTAAGGCCACAATCCTTTTTATAGACACAGCCATTATCCATTGTAGGTGAGACTGGGCTGCAAAAGTGTTCAATACAGCGAGAGCGTGTGGTTCCAGGAAATGAACGGTATCCGCTGAGTAAACAATGGTGAAGTGAATCTCGATCCTTATCATATAAAATCACTTCTGGAACCTCAGCGGTTTGCTTTAGCTGTTTTCATCTGGCCTATAAAACCAGTAGAAGTAATCAGTCATCATTGTGCTACGTGACACTCATAAGTTTCTAATGAATGATAACCTGTATCTGCATAATATATGTAAAACTGTGTCCTGTGCTTTCCACTAGGACTAGGATGGGCTTTTTCAGAAGAAACTAGCAGCAACTGCTTCCCTGTTCCTGAGTGAAGGTGGCTGTGGGGGAAAAATGGAAGTGTAGAGCTGGAGATTTATAGCCTAGAGGGAGATTGATTAGTGCCGTCACTAGCCCTGATGTACGGTTGGCAGTCTCCCCCTCCTAGCCCATCGCATTTGCTCACACACACACATGCAACCATACGGTTCAACACACGGCTACACATACATGCAGACACCACTCAGTCCCCCCCAGGCCTTTCCTGACAGTCCCCCAGAGCTGTTGCATGTTAAGTTGTTGCAGGCAGACTGCTGTTTTCTCAGCATTCCCATTTTTTTTTTTTTTTTTTTTTTAGCTGTCCATAGATAACGCCATCAATCACCACGTACACACTGGCCTGGAAAGAATGTGTCTCAGTGTGCCTGAGTATTGCTACTTTGTGTGTGAGCCCGTGTGTTTGTTTTGACGATGGTTTCATGGACAGGAGATGCGGTTGAATGGCTTTGTGGATGTGCTGTTTGAAGCTGCAGAGTGACTGGCCTGGACTGTGCTCTGAACCCGTGTCAACTGTGGTGCCCCGATGCAGGTGTGTGTTTATCATTCAACACACAGCTGAGGGGCAGGCAGCCGTAGGCATGCTTTACCAATTAAATCGTGAGTGAGAAACCTAGCCCATCTAGCCCAGAGTGAGTTCCTGCAGCCTTACGAGACACGGCCATGGAGCTCTGACCTCGAATCATCCTGCTTAATTCACTGCAGTGTTCCTCTTTTTCTTTTTCTCTTGCTCCTTTTCTACTCTAGGTTGGCCGCAGAACTCCCCCGGCTGTTGTACTGTGCCCACCTCGCCATGCTGGCCTGTTTGCAGAGGAGGCAAAACCCTCAACCCCAGCACCCAGTGTGTGCCAGCAAGACCCTGGAGCCACCACAAGCCCTTGGACGGAAATGTAAGTTAACAAAGAGAGGGTGCGATGGAGGTCAGGAATTCTTGCCTGAAGCAGTGGAATGAGAACGACGTTTGTGTTTGATCTTCATGCTGAAGGACAGAAACTTGTTGTTAACCCTAACTGAGAAGTTACGAAAAATAGACTTTTCAGTTTCTGTTGTTGGCACTATTTTCTCTCAATACTCTGAGGAATTCTAAACACTTTCATTCACTTTGCACTTAGGCCTTGGAATGCTATGTTGTTTGGCTACTCATTGTGAGGGAGGCTGTTTAGCAGTGCTGATTGTGCAGTCGTGGCAACAGGGCCGAACAGACAGTGTTTAACGTGCCTCAGTGGCCCTGGGTGACCCTGAGGGTCTGTAAACATTTACAGTGTCTGGCCCTGGTTGTGCCGGCCGCATGTAAAGTGTGACAGCTGCTCTGTTTGCTCCCGAGCACCACCCTCTGTCCACCCACAAAATGGTGTAAAGGGACAGAGATGAGCCAGGGCTGAAAACCGCTAAGAGTGCTGGCGAAACTAGCTCTAACCAGTTTGGGATTAGAGAGAGCTGCAGCGGTCAAGCCTCTGGAAGGTGAACTTCTCGTTAACTTTGCTGAAGCTTTGAATAAGCCTTTTTTGTCTGACAAGTGGAGGAAAGGTCTTTCCTGCTTATTTAACACTCCTAGACTCTTTATTGGCCTTTGTTTACATGGCAGGGCTACGAGCGACCTCAAGCTGATTAAAAAGGCTGGCGGATGGAGAGCAGGGGAGTACTAACCTTGCAGTTTTTACCCAAGCTTACAAAGGCTTAGTGGAAATAGAAGGATCTGGACTTCTTCATCAGAGGAGCATTGTATCAAGCCTTTAACTAGCCTAGCCCTGTGAAAGGCTTGAAACTCTTGATTGGCGAAGAAATGAAGCACTGCCCAAATTCTTTTTCAGCTCCTCACTGTCCAATTAGCTACTCTTCAGCTCAGCATCACTTTCCAAATTCCTTATGCAGAGGAGAGAAGAATCATAAACAAAAAGGTGACTGTATAATATATGTACTCAGACTTTTTTTGTTGTTTTTTCTAGTCTGTGTGGATATGGAGGTGTATAGATGTGCATGAAACAGGGAGGAACAGAGAGATAAACAAAGCCTTGGGTGCATTTGGAAGGGTTAGCTCTTTAGATTAGTGAACCAACCACAAATCGCTAATGAGGTTTTAGAGAAAGAGGCACAGTGAAAGGGGGAGGGGGAAGGAGAAATTGTGAAAATAAAATTAGTGAAGGTAAAGATGAAGAGGAAGGGAGAGAAATGGAAGGAGTCTTCAGCAGTCTTCTTAATCGATTCCCTACTTCCAATTTTGCAGGATTAGCCCACTTCCTCTCAAGGTCCTTTATTGAAGAGCAGCCAGTGGGAGTCAGGACTCAAATCAATAGAGAAAAAGAACAGTCTCCAGCTTTCCCTTTGCCCTCCCTCTCGCTGACCCTCTCTGTCTAACTCTCCCTGTCACTCCCTCTCCTTCTCCACCTGTTAAACCCTTTGATTGAAGGACTACCGCAGTGACTGACTTGAGGTTCATAATGAGGATGTTTGAACATAATAACCTCCTTTCTGTCCTTGGACTGGAGGGAGGGGGAGGCAAGTGTTGGATTTCCACCATCGTGCACCACTTGGCCTCAATAAGGCAATTGTTTGTCCGGGCCTAGAAAGGCTGCAGAAAAGCAGACAGTGGGTCTGGCTGCAGAAGTGGGCACACTCCGGTCACCATGCTGAGCAGGTCCCATGACTGATTGGTCGTGGCCAAGTTTGTGCCAGAATGGAAAGGGTTTGTGGGTAAAATGACAGGGCTCTCAACAGGAAGCTGAATATAAGAATACACCCTTGAAATGGACAGTAAGTAAAAGTGCAGGAGGGGGATTACGTGGCAGCGAAGGTAGAGGCGAGCTCTGTCATTTGCATCTGCTTTCCTTTACACAAAAACCTGTCTGCATGTGTATGTGTGGGTGTGTGTGTCAGAGAAAGTGGAGGTGGGGTGGCAGAGCATTGGGATAAGAGGGCGAGGAGGGTTTTAGAAAAAGCCCCTGCATGCAGATGCCGAGTGGCTGCACAGTTCATTGATGCGACTCCCATTGAATCCCATTAAAAATCCCTCATACCCTCAATAAAAAAGGACTTAACTGGCTCTACCATCAGCTGGAAGCGTTCAGATCGGCTCGCCAGACAATCAATTTCCCCCAAGCGCACAGAGCTTAGCAGGAGAAACAGGAGGCGGAGAGCGGGATGTTTCCATTATCACAGCCCGCTCTGTGTCTGTGCTCAGGAGGGTGGGGTGAGGTACTGTAGAGCGGGGAGAGAAAGGAGGCAGGAGCAGAGAGAGAGACGGGGAAAGACAGACAAGTAGAGGAGAGAGAGAGAGAAGCAGAAAGGGAGACAGAGAAGCTGGCTTTTCAAAAAGCTATTGACCGCCTGCCCTTAAAAATATCATATTGGATTAGCCTCACAGGGCAGCCTTTTGATAGTTTTTTTCTTTGGCCGTAGAATTAAAAGGAGTGCGGAGCATTACTTGAATTATAAATCATAGGCACTTGCTTTCACTGCGCCCAAATTCCGCACATATGTGGTTGCACTCTCCAGCGCCAGCCCCTGTCATTTTTAATTAAATCCCCCCTTATGGGTGACATTTGTAGCTTGCCCCCTCCTTTGTCCTCCCCCTCCGCGTCTATCTACCACTGCCCTATATGGAGACATGAAAGGCAGAGACGGCAGCGGAGCCAGGACCTCTCATCGTGTTGTGCCCCACAGAGAGGGCACCCATCCAGGCAGATGAGAGAGAAAGGCCCTGCAGGGGGAGAGGGGTGAATGGATGCCACTGACCCTGGCCACCCTCAGCCGGTGGTGACCTCCCTCTCCACCCATTCCTTTCCTTGATCATCCTTCGATGTGGTCCGGAAGGTCCAGGGAACACGGGTGAGCGTTAAAGCCCCGCTCTCGGAGGGGAACGGGAGGCGGACCAGTCCAGTGAACACTGAGATGGCTGGACAGGAGGCCCAGCAGCCCCCACCACTACCCTGCCTCCCCTCTTGCCCAGACAGCAATTACTCTGTCGCATGTCAGCTAGAGAATAACAGGTCCAGAATCCTTCACTTGAGTAGTTGATGGGGGTATTTCTGCTGGCTATTTTCCAAAATAATATCTTTTCAAATTTCAGCAGGTTTTAATTTGTTTATTCATTCCTTAGCAGTTGCGTTTGTGCCAGCATGACATTTTGTAATGATGCAGTTGTCAAAATGGGTGTGCATATTTGCACATTTTGTGCAGACATGCTGTCAATGCTACAGTACCCTTGTTAACAAAACAGCTTACTGCCACTCCCATATTTGTCCAATGATTGGATCAGACTTTGGGCTAAACCTGGGTGTTCCCTTGTGTCTCTAACCTCAACAGGGCCTGGTTGCGACTCATGAGCACACAATGGTGATTTATAATTACTTTTGGTGTCACTGCACCTAAGCCTAATTAAAACAAAAATGATTTTCCTTTAAAGATGAATGCAATTCTACTTATGTCAAACACATAAAGCTACTTTTTTAAATTATTATTTAAAGCTAAAGCCACTCTTCAATCAACTGTTGTACAGCCCAGAATTTTTCTTGTAGCAGAGATGTGTACACACATTTACACAAGCACACCTGCAACCATAACCCTGTGTGACACCACCCGGGAGGCCCGGGGGTGCCAATCAGCCAGGTGTAGATGAAAAATTCCCAGAAGGCTTGGTATCCCAGGTTCATGCTATGTCAGGCCAGGTTCGGCCTTCTTCCAGCTTGATCGACAGAGACAACCTGGCCTTGTCACATACAGCCTTAGGACATGACATAGAGGTACACCTGGGGATTGTAGTTTTCCTAATAGCCCCATGCTTTTGCAGGCAGAGCTGCCAAAGCCATTAGTTTTCTTTGCTTTTAGCTGCTTCTCTTCCTAAGCCACATTGCCATTGGGAGGGAAATATGCTCAGGTAATGACCTGCTGCCACCTCTCCTCCACACTTGTCTGAGGCAGTACGAGACATAACAGTGGAATTAGCTGGCCGTATCAAATTGCACCACAATACTTCAACAACTACTATCCAAGGGGGAAAAGGGGGAGTTGGCAAGAAAGGGGAGGGAGGGGACTTTTTTAGTTGAATATTTAAACGTGGTCACTTGCGGCAGCAGAAATAACAGCCTTTACCCTGATTGCCTCAGTACCCTGGAGGTGGCGGGGGCTGGAGGGTGTAAAGCGAAACTGGGAAAAAAGGAATGGAGACTGCAAGGGAGAGCAAATCTGCATGCACTTGACCTTTTCCCGCTGATTGAACTACCTCATTTCTAACTCCCATTTGGAATTCCACAGAGGGTCCACAGAGACTGTCATTATTCCACTGTCTGCAGCAAGGAAGCAGAGGTCACGAGGTGTTTTTTACAGTGCAAGGTGATTGACAGCTATCCACGTCTTCCTCCATAACTCATCCACGATTCCTATTTATGCAGTTTCATTTTGAGGAATCGCTGGCTTTGCATAGCTGCACTGATTGTGTAATTTGCACTGCTGTAATATTGCTAGATTGTGAAAAGCGGAGAATTTTGAGTCGCAGTTTATTTCAGAGAGACGGCCATATGATATTAGTTGTACATATCTTACCTCATGCATACCACAGCCTCTTCTGTCGTGTTGGCGTCTGATTGCTGGCACACAGAGAATCATTTCCGGATGGTGACATCCAGCAGAGCCATGCCTTCCCTCTGCCCTCTGCCTTCTGCTGTGAACACAGGGGGTGAAGCAATCTTATTGCCTTGAGAGGTGAGCTTGAGGAAAAGGGACTCTGGTGTAGTTTTGGTCGCAGCAGGACTTGGGTTCAAAAACAGGTTCCTTGTTCCAAAGCCTCCGAGCTGGCATTTGGGCGTCCCAGGTGCAAGGCAGCGACACCCTCTGTCTTCGCCTGCCAGAAAGTGGGGGTGGGTTGGACGATCTGAGCGAGGGTACAGAGAGTGTC